ATTAGTTAGCTGTAGGACTAGTAGGATATATATATATATATATATATATATATATATATATATATATATATATATATATATAATTATTAAAAGATTTACAAGCTTTGGGGGGAGCCGTGGTCCCCTCTCGCTCCCAAGAAGGTCTGCCCCTACATATGTGGAGGCTCCAAAAAATAAAGGCAAGTGGTAACTCGATTGTGAACAATGACTTATTAGTTTCATTTATTGCTTTAATCAAGTTCCTAATTTCCTATTGGGATTTCTTATATAACTTGAGCATTGTAAAAGAACTTATCATTGCTACTTGAATGAGACTAAAAGGTGATTGTATCTTTCATTAATATGCCTTTAATGTTTGAACCTCTTTCGAGACACATTAAGCACTATCAGTATATTATACTTCTTTACTCGTTTCTTTTCTTAAGAAACTTGCTTTACTTCTATACCAACCTTCCTTTTTGTACTTAGCAAATTATAGAAACTATTTTGTAAAAAAAAAAAATCACCCAAAAATAATTACATAAACCACCCATTTTAACCTTTATTATAACTATTTTAGGAGCTCGGTTTATGTATTGATTCATGTTTCCAAAACTAAACAAACTAATTGTGTTTTGCATGGTTATAAATAATTATGAATGTTACAATTATGTCTCAAACCATAAGTAAAATCACACACATTACTATTTTATTCTATTATGAATGTTACAATTATGTCTCATACTATGATGTGAATTGAATTTTTAGTTTGGTATTCATGAATGATGTGTGACCCTTGATTAGTGAGAAGGCTATAATGTAATGATATTTTACATATGTTTATTAATTATAATTATATATATTTGTATTATATGTTATTATAGTAAGGTGAGAATTCAAGGTCTCATAAGGTCCCATCTCGTTTGTGAAGAAAATTTTTCATGCATTGATTACCATTGGATGCTTAAAGTTTGTATTTTATAATTGGCTCTCTAAAGACAATAATAAATATGCTAAAGAAATTTTTTTTAAGTATAACACACAAGATTTTAATAAACATACAAATTAAAAATTAAAGTTTCGCTCAAATTTTGAATTAAAATAATTCATTAAAAGTTAAATATCAATGTAGTTGAAAAATAGATAATAATTTTAAAATTATTAATGCACAACCAACATCTCGCATTGATTTAAGGAGGATGCCACCTTACTGAATATTGCTCTTCACCAACAAACAACATATATTTTTATAAATTCACAAAAGCTGAATAATTATCAAAATTAGTAATCTAGACAAAATTTTTGGATTCACATTCTAGACGAATAACAAAACAAATAGTTATAATTACAATGTAACAAATAAATAAAATAATTTTCCAATATATAATCCAAATTGAATTTCTTAAAAGTCTAACAGGCCATCCAAAATCAATGTATAAAGCTATCTAAATGACAAGAGTTTTACATGTTAGGATTCATAATTTTTAAAATTTTAATATATAATATAATACAATTAGCAATTACATTGATACTTATTTATAACTTTTCTTTTAATTATGAGTGAGTTTCGAAGATGTAAAATTTCTTTTCCTTTGCTTCATTAGTGCAATTTGGCAATCATCACCTTTATAATCTTTATACTGCATGAAAAATTCACAACTTTCACCTAATTGAAAAATAGTACAATAAATTAGTAACATAAAAAACACTCATTTATACATTAATTTTAACACAATCACCCACAAAAATTTGCAATAATATTTTTAAAAAAGTTAATTCATAATTTTTACATCTTCAAAATCGTCTTTCCATATTTACTTCTATTACTACGTAACAAACACTTTTTTCACCACAATAATTAAATGGATGTCCTTCTAACACACCTTGTTGACAATCATTGTGAACCTTGTCCTTCATTTTCATGTTTAAAAGAAATTACATATGAAAATTTTAACTTTGTAGTGAAGGATAAACTTATAATGTTTTTCTTTTTTTTACATCTTCAATAAATTTTCAGACCAAATAAATTTAAATTAAGAATCCTAGTAGTGATTGAAGCACATTACTTAAGATATCTTTGTTAGGTTATATAATGAAGTAATAAAAAGGACAAAAGCAAAAAAAAATAATTAAAGAATTATAATCAAATAAATAAAAGTTATGGAACAAATCAAAATTTAATGTAAAATAGCAGCACATAAATATTATTTTTGTCTATATTATATTAACATTTAATATATTAATAATATATCATTGTAGTTTATTATTGTGGTTCTCTTGCCCTATGCCCATATAGCTGCTATTACTATTATTATTATTATTATTCGAGTAATGGCTATTAATACGACTTTGCACTGCAGGAAAAGATTTTTGTTATGTATATTCGTGTGATTGTGAGGATGAGCTTATCACTTTTGAAAAACGCTTTTTCTAAAAAGAATATTAAAAGGTTAATTTGAGTATAAAGTAAAATAATCTGAACATATCCGAGCTTGTCTTCTGAGTGGATCCAACGCAAAATATAGTCAAATACCGTTACAGTGGAGTGTGGACTAAATAGCAGCCCCATATGTGACACTGAGTATTGATCTCAATGAAACATAGTGGTGGGGCACTGTAGTTGGGTTGCATATTAAAGTCAATTAAAAGAAGTGATCCGAAAAACGCAATCATAGAAGCACACCTTAATTGTAAAGGGCTGTCAGCAATCATCAAGACTCAATAGTTGCACTATATATGATTCAAATTAGGAGGCCATAAACCCTTACTACTGATCCAGGAACTAGGGGTTCAAACTTCAAATAGTTTATACCAAGTTGAAGATTTAAATTTGTGACATTATTATATAAAAAGGATCAACTCGAACCAAGTTAGATTTTTCCTTAAGTAGGTCTGGATTGTTTTTCAAAGTACGTGGCTTGAAATTAACATTCGTAGATTCTTTAATGTGTAAAAGACTAACTTAATTTAAAACTTGCTTAAACGTTATTTCGTAATAAGACTATATACAACGTTAAACCTTCAAGCTTAGGTCAAGTCTTTAATTAGAAAACATAAAATTTTGGCTATTTTAAGTACTAAGATACTTTTTAAAATTTTGACCTATTCTTTTTATTTAACACATTTGGTCAAGTGAATTCTTAAATAAGTTAAACAATGAATTACAACGAATCATTTGAGCTATTTCTACCCTTAATTTAAATAATTAAATAAATATTAATTAAAAGATTTATTGGTGTGATTTGCTGAGTTTTACGTGATGAGATTTTAAAAGGATAAATAATAATTTTAATAAATTGGATATACGTGGTTTATTAATTTTTAAAATTAAATCAAGATATTATTATTTTTATCTCTATATTGGATTACAACTAAGAGTAATTAAAAACAAAAGACAGAAAATAATTATTAAGTTAACAAGTAAGTATACAAAGTTATTAAAAATTTGAAATACATGTTTTAAAGTAATTTAGCGGGGCTATATTATAAAAGAAACTTAATAACCGCGGTATTGCTTTACAATAGGATCCAACCGGTGCTGTTTTTTCAAGTCTCTCTTATCAAGGTCAAGAAAATCTAGACAGATTCCCATGATCCAAACTAATAATTTCGGAAACTTATCTATTTAAATTTTTTTAAGAAAAGGAAAAAGAAATAGAACGTGATTAGTTTCTCTCCCGATATAATCGCACCACATTCAAAACAAAATGAACCCGCTAATTTGAATTATCCCTTCAAGAGCCCACATCATCATGAGATTGGGATGAGAAGAACCAGAAAGGAGAAGAAAAAGGGAAAATAAAGAAATAAAAATAAGGAAAAGGGAAACGCAGAACACAAGAACATGAATTAACTAATTAGCGTCCCCACCATGGAAACCCTCGAAGCAAAAGGAAATGAAACAGAAGAACTCAAAAAGCGTTTCAAGAAGCTGGAACAAGAGTGGCACTACTTTAAGGAATCCATGTCAGCAACATCTTCACACAAAAATCTCGTTCCTTCAAACGCCACCATCAAATTCAAACCCATTCTAAACCCACAACAATACTCTCCAAGAGAACTTATGTTCAACCTTCAACAACTATCCCCATCACCCGCAAAGGGGTGGAAGAACAAAGTGATGATGACGACGGCCAGAACCAATGACGTAGCAGCACAAGAGATCCTCCAAGATCGTAGAGAGGCCATTGAGAGAGGAAAGTTGAAGGGTCGAAGACTTTTTCAGTCAACATTGGAGGGTGAGAGTGCTATCATGAATACTTCTCAACGTGAAGTGAGGTCAATGTCTTTCTACAACTCTGAGGATGAATCTAGTGGAAGCAAAGGGGTGAATGATTACTGTACCCGCGGGTTTTCTTATTCCTCCTCCTCCTCTTCTTCTTCTTGTTTTGTTAATGGTAACATGGACGAAAATGCGTGGGTAATAGCGCATGTGGTTGCAACGGCAGCAGAGAGGAGAGTTGCTAGTGTTGGTAGGTATGGCCATGGAAGAGTAAGGTACTTTGTTTTCTTAGGTGGGTTTGCTCTTATTTTACTGGTGATTGCAATGTGTGTAAGCTTGGCAAGGAGTTCTTGTGACGTGGTTTTGGTCCCAACATGAGAACTGATCAACCATTAATCCTATAACTTTTGTCTTAACGTGATCTTAAAGCATGTTAAATTATAGTTCTAAACATATGCTAGTAGTTGTTTCAATTGTTTTCAGGATTATGATATAGTTTTTATTAAGTGTGTAACTGCTACAATAAGATATATCCCATGCATAAATTCCTGTGTTTGCTTTGGGGAAAATTAATGATTTTATTGTGGTTGTACATAATAATTCCGAGATTGGCTGCTAGTCGTGGTGCACGTGTTGAATTCATGACAGAACATATTGTGCTTCTGATATAAATTAATGTTGAAAACTGTTTTGAGTATCTTCAGAAACAGAAAGGCAAATATACTAACTTGCTAGTTATACATTGTGTTGATAAACACACAATATGCTTTGAAATGTCAATTAATAATCACTTTATATCCTATTCCAAAGTTGGAGGCACATTACTGCAGAGTAGGTTGTTTAGGAACAGGTTTCCCAAGATTTGATCGAAGCTTTCGGTTGACTTATCGACAGGGTGTGTATGCATCCCTTCGTAGGTGGTTACTACGATTTCTTCATCTTGGGAATGGCGTTGGATTTGTTTCTTCACATTGCAACCCCGATGAGAGCATCTGTAGTAACTTCTGAAAACAGCAAAATAAAATTGACTTATAATTAAGCAAGATCAGGAAAAAAGGCTGAAACTGAAATGATAAAATCTCAATCAATGCTACGTTAACATTGGTTAAATAATACTACTAGCTAGGCCTACTAGTATAAAGGCGATCGATCCTATTTCTACTTGTTACATGTTACAGAAAAATGTTTTATGTACCACTAAAATGGAACAATCGAAGTATTTTTTTTATATTTAAAGCATATTTTTGAAATACGTATATAAAACAAAATAAGAAGCTAGAAATAATAGTATACAATAATATTGCATACACTGGGTCTATTTGAAGGAGTTTATAGATATTTTATGATTAAGTTGATTTAATATATTTCATCAAATTTTATGGTTAAATTTATATGTAAGTTATTATTCAAGAGAGTTTATTATTGAATAAATGATTAAATAAGTTGTGTATTTATATCTTTAATATCAATTTTTAGTGATTTAAATAACCAAATTGCAATATAGATAAAAAGCATTGTTTCTTGTAGATAATTGTTGCATTTTAGAAAGGGTTCAGGGGTAATGGCGAATCTTTAGTTATGTACTGAATCTTTTACAGGAAGGTGACGAACTCACCAATGAGTAGATATAACTATTTATTAGGTTCAGAAGGGGAGCTTATACCACATTATGATGAAACCAAAATAGAACATTCAAATGTTAATATATAAAAGTGGCACTAACCTTGGGAATTTATTGCTTTTCACTATCTTTTTCCCATATTTCCTCCACTGGTACCCATCGTCAAGTACATCAACCGGACTCCTTGTTTGAAATGCGTATCTGTGCTGCTTGATCTCTTGTTTGTCACCTTCTTTCTGCGCTGATATTGCCTTCCCTTGAGTTCTTAAAACCTCTTCTTTCTCAACATGAACCATATTAGAATTATAAGCAGCCAATGATGTAGATGATGAGGTAGGAAATTCCACTTGGTGTTTCTCCATTGCTTGAAAAGTAACTATAGACCAACACTAGAAAGCTTTATGGAAAAACAAATTATTTGCATATATTGGGAAAAGGTGATGGCGATGTATGCATCCTTAGAAAAAAAAATGAGGGCGGCATGCAAGTCAATATTGAATTTCTCTGACTATAGAGAAACTATACATGTAACAACATAAAGAGATGATATGCATGGTAAATTTGCCGTGTAGAAAGGGGTGCGTTGTGTCCTACACAGTAGGGAATTTAATAAAATTGTGTGTATCCGTTATTATCACGGTTTTATATGTTTAAAGTTATCACATGTATGGAGATTTCATGCTTTCAGTTTCATAGAAATTTCACATAGAATTCAAAGACAATTGTGAAAACAATTGGAACAGTTTGTTAATTTCATCCGTTCTTTTCTAATTAATTTTTACTACTAATTTATATGCCAACAAGGGGTAAGAGGCTGAGGGTTATTTGCGGATTCCAACTGGAAAATCCTATGTTCAAACCCTTTTCTTTTATAACATTGATTTTGTTAATTTTAGTCCTTTTAAACATCTAAAAATAATAAATTTTATTTTAAAAAATTTTATTTATTATTTTATATTTTTTTATGTAATAAATATGTTATTAATATAAATATATTTTTTAATTATTTAAATTAGTCTTAAGAGTCGGTTGATGTCTTGATGAGGTTGTATTTTCCTTATAAAAAATACAGCCACGTGATGAAATTGGAATTAAAGATAAGCCGTTCCATGGTCTGTGTTAGAGACTAAGGGAAAAGAGTGGCGCGCTTTTTATTTAATTGACGACATAAATATATAAGAAAAAATATAATATAATGCTAAAACTTAGGATATGTACATAATTTTAATTACATTCTATCTAGATTCAATATAGATAATATGAACACAAATTAAAGCGGGACAATTTTATGGTATGAGCATATGAAAATAAAGTGTTTTATGTTATAATATTCAGGTCAAAATTACAAATGCTTAAGAGTCAATTTGGATGCTCCTCATTGTCCAAAAGAATCGGGTACTCCTTAGCAAGTATTTATAGAAAAAAAATTTAAAAAGTAGAATGAATTAAATTATTCACTTAAGTCAATGAATTTATGTATTTCAACTATGCATTAAAAGTTTCTTCATCTATGTTCTTTGTAAGCACTTAAATTTAATCAAAATTGGCAGTCTTATCTAAAAAATGTCTTCAATTTAGTGACGGTGGAAGCACTGGGGTTCGAGTAAAAGACACATTGAGCCTGTGCCAGTTGATCTACAAATTTATTGAGAACCTAATTTCATTTTCAACTCTCCCCCAACAAAGAGCGTATGTGACAAAACTTGAATTAGGAAAAGCGTGTTACAATAATGGTTCACATGCGATACACGACAGCGAGACATATTTCGTGAATCATGGGTGCATGTACCTGAAATAGGTCATAAGACCAATAACTACGTACACCCAGTAACCATAGTTATTCACTCAAAGTCCACCATAGCAAGTTGCAATCAATATATTGTACACAAGCTAAACGTTCAAGAGGCAAACTGGAGATTGGTGAAAAACCTCCATGAGCTTATTTTTAATTTTAAATAAATTTAAATTATCTTTTATGTGATTTTCTTACATAGATTATATGTAATATACAACGTATGGTAAAACCATATAAAATATTAATAAAATATATCAAACTGACATTATTTTACACATTTTTATAATTTAAAATATCTATAAATTTCTGTTTGAAGTATTTTTATTGGGTATAATTTATGTTTATACACTTATTTTGTACTCTACAGATATTATAAAATATTTTTTTGATTTAATCTTATCTAGTTATTAATTTAAGATCAAATATTTAGTTTATATAAGTTTAAATATTATGCACGAAATTTAAAATATTAGTTTGTGCAACATCGTTTTGGTTTTTTTTTTTCGGATTGGACATTCTTGGTTGATATTATGTCCAATAATTTTGTCCCAAAGAACGAGCTGGATGTAACATAATAGAAAAGAGCGCGTAGGCCCAAAAATTTAAAAGCCCAATAGCCTAAGTGCTGGACTAGGGAGTTGCATTTTGTACCCGTTTTGTTTTTCTATTTACACCTTTCTTTTTACTAAACGCCTATGACTCACTCACACTCTAATTCTATAAATATCTACCCCTCTTAATTAAGAAACAAAAATTATTGTATGATCTCAAACTAATAGTTGGTCATCATCTCAATCACTCAACAAGTAACACATATCAATGTTTTAAAATTATAATATCAAATTTCTCAAAATCTTACTGAGTAATCAGTACCATATACAGTTGATCATCTCTCTCATCACACAATAATTTCTCCTTAATTAGATAGTCCAAAATACACTATTTATCCCTTGTTATTACTTTATCAAGCATGCTACAGTTAGACTAAATTACAACAAACCCTTACAAAAAAAATGTAATTTGTAGTTCATAAGAAGCTTTAATTCAATTTCTAGTTATGCAAAAGTATTAGCTTACAATTGGAAAGAGAATTTACAAGTAAAAAATGAGTGAACAAAAGATTCTGGATTGTTATGACAAAATACACACCTAGCTTAGTCAGAAAATGTGATCTCCTCAACAAGTTTTCCTTTAAGGGAAGATGATCAAATTCCCCATTTTAGGAAATAGATGCAACCTTTGATAGAGCAAATAATTCTATTTTTTTAAGTTTCAAAGAATTCAGCATTCACCTGACGAGCAGGTAAACTCTAGTAATATGTAAAGTTATTGGCTAACCTACAAGAATAACAACTAGAAGATTAAGAAAATCAAAGCCAAACACTTTCAAGCCAAACTTCTGGTTTGCATTTGAAAAAAAGTATAAACAATAGTAATAACCATATTCTCTTCCCAAATAGAAGATCGCCTAATATAAACATAATGTCTTTGTTTATTGAAAAAATAAACAATATGTGAAATGTCAACACTGTTAAGTTTATCACTTCTGAAATAAACATCATTAATTTTGAAATGATATTGTTGTTTGTGTATCTATAAATAAACAAACGGATAGATGAAAATATAATTTTAAATAATTTATTTTAATTTAGAGTTCTGTATATCATAAAATTTTTAATTTCATCTAATTTTTGTGTGATTTCTATAATTTTTTATTGACTTAATGACAATGTTAATGTCAATTAAGTTTACCAATACTTAGGTAATTGTATAATGTATAATAAATATTTTTCATGGTGCGTCTACTGTTAAATATCATACTATGTATTTGATTTTTATAATTATATCTTTTTGTATATTTGATAATTATGAAAACAAATATTATACTTGTGTTGATTTTATTGTGTAATCATGCTTTATTTTTTAAATATAAATTAGAAATTTATATAAATATAAAGCCTTCACATTATATTTTAAAATTGCAAATTTTAATTATTTTAGTCTTTAATTTTACAAAACGATATTTATTTTAATTTTTCTACTTTATTTTTTATTGTTAATTCATGTCAATAAAGAATATAGCAAATATTATTTTGTAAAATCAAGAACTGAGGCGATCAACGTTTTTGTATATTAATTATATATTATAATTTATTTCTAATAGCACATATGTTATTTATATTTTTTTTATAGGCAAAACAAATCTTATTAAAAAGAGTTCAAGGGGAACTCAAAACCCATATACACAAAAAATTACTTACTCAGAGAAATAAAAAGTAAAAATATACTTATGCAAAATTAAGACAGATGCAATTTCGTGGGTTCAAATACCAATCAGCTAACATAATAGCTTCTCCCTTACTAACAAGTGATAACCATTCCCAGGATCTCAGAATAATAGAATCTAGGACTTCCCTCTCATCTAAAACACCATTGGAAAATATAATTCTATTTCTATGCAACCACAAAGACCACACTATACTTACCCAAATAACTAATAAATATATTCCTTCTCTTTTACTACAGCCAACACCAACCCAAGAAAGCAAGTGAGTCGATAAATCTGAAGGCAAAACCAGTGAGAATCCAAGCCAACGCGCAGTAAAGTACTAGATTTGAGATGAAACTGAGCACGTTAAAAATAAATGAGTTGGAAGTTCCTCCAAACCATGACAGAAACAACAAGTTATATCATCAATTTGAACACCACGATCAATCAGTAAACCTTTACAAGGAAGTGCATTCAACAACAATTGCCAAGAAAAAACCAGACACTTAAGAGAGACATTCCCTCTCCATAGCCTTTGTAAGGCATCTGCCATACACTGATCTACACTATTAGGACCACCAAAAAGTTCAAATAGTCATGAATACGCAGATTGCACTGAATAACAACCTGAAGAATCTGCCCTCCATACCCATTTATCTTCTTGTAGTAACTTAATAGAAACTTCATCCACAAGCTCCAACAAAAGATTAAAGCTCGAGATCTCATGTTGAAAGAGTCTTCTTCGCCAACTAACATTCCAAACCCATCTAGTGCCATCATGAAAACCATTTTCCAATACACGTGATTCAGCATTTCTCGCCACTGCAAATAATCGCGAAAATGCTTCACACAATCGCACCCCTCCTACCCACTTATCTCTCCAAAAAAGAGTGTGTAAACCTGCACCCACACTTCTATCAAACTTCTCATCCAGCCATGAATTCTCTTGATGAATAACCTCCAACAAATCACGCCACCACAAAGAACATCTGTTGTGAACTGATGAACGCTGAAGAGAAGAAGCTAATCTTCCACATCTAGATTCAACACCCGCACCCACAATGAACTAGAATAGTTAAAACCTCACCACAACCATTTACCAAGAAGCGCCCAATTAAACCACTGCACATTCCTAATGCCCAAGCCACCATTCTTCCGCGGTCTACATACAGTTTTCCATTTCACCCAGGGGATTTTAGATCCATCCTTAACACCCTTCCATAAAAAATTCCGTTGGATAGTGACAATTTCCTTTATTATCGACTTCGGCACCTTAAAAAAGGATAACGAGTGCAATG